TGCCTCAATGATTGCACACCCTGCAATTGCTATGAACAGCTAAACCCTTCATTTTAGCCACAAAAATAATTTCATCCTCGTTAAGCCCAAATGAATGATCAAAATATGTTGAAAACATGTTTTCTAAAACATACTGTGAAAACATAAAAGGAATTTTCGTAATAATCAGAACAAACAGGCTCCTGAACCATATGCTGGTGGTCAAAAACAAAAGCTAATATTAAAGGAGATGCTTTATAAGATGGAACTTTGTCCAATTTCAAGTAGTACTGAATATGCTATAGGAGTATAACATTATGCAATAAGAAATTCTGTATGGAATTAGACATTATTGTATTAGTGAAACCAACTTTACCTTGAACAAATAATCCAAAATCTGGGAGCGATAAGGTTCTTGGTAGTTCACCAGGAGTCTAGATGTGGCCTAAAATGGAAACAAAACAAAAATATGAAAACTTAACTTTCAAACATGTAAGTACCTTCCAGTCTGTCAGTTGAGGACTTTCACATACTTAACAAAACAACAAAAGTAATTCTAGCACCAGGAACTCAGCTAAGCCCCTACAAGAAGTCTTTTTTAATCCTTCAATAGTGCATTTCTGGTTTCGTAGATTACAACTGCCCTCTAGTTCAGCTACTTGCAATTTAATGCAATGAGAATCCAAAGAGCAGAATTAGCGCAAGCAAAATGCAGTCCCCTCCCAGCACCTTTTATGCTCTTCTACTCGTATCTCCCTGCTTTGGTGCACTTTATACCAAAGGCAATGGGAGTTCACTGGGCATATAGGCAGGAGGTGAAGGAATGCAATTCAGCATGTCCAAGAGCAAATAAGAACTTGCAAGAGCCCCCGGCTCTGTTTGCTGGACCACAGGAAAGCATACGACTAGCTATTGTTCCATCCAACACTTTAAAGCTCACACAGACAAGTAGTGAGGAAGAGCCTCTACAGATAAAAAAACCCGCCCTAGTTAGCTCTCCTCCAACAGCACTGAGGAAGTGGATGGCCCTCGGCTACCCAAGCAGCCTGGTGAGAAAGAGCCACTGTACATCTACCAGCAAGACAGGCACAAAGCAGGGCCCGGCTCCAGCCAACTGCCCCCGCTGCCACTACCACTGCCCGCACGGCTCGCACCGGGGCTTTCAGGGCAGAGCTCCCCTTCAGAGCTCCACTCACGTCCTCCCATCTCCACCACCTTCCCTTTCACACATCCCCACTTCCTCACGGCTTCCTTACGGCTTCCTCACGGCTCCCTGAGAACCCCCCACCAACCAACACGGCTTCCTCACAGACACATCAAACGGATGCACCGAAGCCACCGAATATTCGCACTGACGGAATTCCTCGCCTAAGAGCTCGTGAAAACCGCGGCCTCGAGGAGCAGCACAGCAGCGCCACAGGCAGCAGCTCCGCAAGACCTCTGCGCCCAGCCCGCCGCTGCCGCTCACCCCGCCGCCGCTGACAGCGCCGATCCCGTCGAACTCTCTCCCCAGCCCGTAGGCATCGTCCAGCTCGTAGGTGGCCGTCGAGAGCGCAGCAGCACCGACCCCGGGGGGGCCCGGGCCCCAGCTGCAGCCAAGCAGGATCCAACCCCACAGCAGAGCAACACACTGCTCCATCGCGCGTACTGCGCGCCCCTCCAGCAACTCGCCACTGCCCAACTCCGCGTGTCACGTGACAGCACAACCTGGCAATCACCTGAGGGGCGGGGCGCGAGAGCTCTTCCCCGCCATTTTGGTAAAGGGAAAGGCTCAGGGAGGGGAAGGCTGTCCGCCCTTACGGCACACACGAACGCCCGGGTTGAAGTTAGCGGCTGCCATTTTGAGAAAGGGCAAGCAATTTCGGGCTAGTGGGAAGCTTACCGCCATGCTGGAATTGGGCACTGAATGGCGAGTGAAGCTATTGTGGAGACATCTTGGATGTGGGAAAGCTGGCTGGCGGTGGGGAGGGTGGTACGCGTCACGGCTAGACAGGGCTTCTCTGCGGGTACACAGTGAAATTGGGTTTAGTGGAGCTTGAGCCGCGATGTTAGGGTAACACCAGAGTGACCTTTACTGGGGGGGCCTTTAGCAAGTCATGTCAGTTTTCCAGGGAGAGGAACGGTGATTTCCAGTGAGCCTCATTTCCAAGCCCTCGCCAGCACCTAGGTAACTGGTTTTGCCACACTCTCCTGCTGCCACTAAATCCCTTGTAAAGTAGGCAAAACTGGACACTTTGAAAGCTGCAGCGCGTTGCGAGGAAGACCTTTGACTGCTTGCACGGGAACAGGCAGGGAGTGGCCCCGGGGCACAGGCCCAGGCGTGGAGAGGGCCAGCCCGGGAGAGGGGAGCTGGCAGCCCGTGGGCTTCCCGAGGAGTCCCAGTTGGATCCGCAACTGTGTCCTCAGGGGGGGGAATCCTGGGCGTGGGTTCTGTTTACAGCCTTCACGAGGCACAAGGCAGGGCAGCCGCAAGGAAGTGCGGCCAGCTGAGATAGTGCAGTGCCACATGCTAAAAGCTTCCGTGAGAATAACCAGGGTGTTCGCTCAGACTCCAGCTCATGAAAGCATTTGAGTCAGAGAAGAGTAAAAAGGAGATTGGTGATCGGCTTGATTATGCTATAAAAATACCCTTTAAAGGGGAAGTGTCTGTCTGCTGACCTAAGTGTTCTACAAAGGCGATGTTCTGTGTGCTTGAGGAGTGAGGAGACGCAATCCTGTGTTCAGTGTGTCAGAGCCATGCAAAAGCCCAGGTTTTGCACATTTCTGCCCATCAAGAGTGCTGTTACTCGAGCCACTGCCTCTCTTGTCCATGTCATTGAGGGATCTAATGTCTCAGTGATGACATTACCTCACTGACGTTTCCTGTTTGTTTCATTTTTAATAACAATACTAAACACAAAGCATTTTGCACTTTACAGCCATATCAATAGCAAACTAATGAATCTGCTCACACCCAAATGAGCTATACAATGTCATTATTGCATGCAAGAAGGACAGAGTGACTTCCTCAAGGCTACAGTGAGTCAGTGACAAAGGTAGAATTATGTTCATGGTCCTAATTCACATTCATTCCAGCAGACCATACAGCTTTGCACACCTGGAAGGTTTGCAAAATCATAAGGAATTATGGGCTAATTTTGATAATATCTTAATGCATAAATTTATTCCAGGTAGAAGGCTTCAGCTGTGGAATTCAGTCTTTTATTCACTCATAGGTGCCTTAAAGTGTCATCTTTCAAAACTCGTATTTGCATCCTATGATGCGCTGAGTGCCTCCCCTTTTCAGAAAGAAAAGGTGTAGAAAAACATTCTTAGTATCAGATTTGGTGGAAAGAAGAGAATATTTTGGTGGGACTCTGAGGACTTTTATTCTGTATTAAGAATCCCGAACTTACTGTTACCTTGGTTTTTACCTGTTTTACCTTTGTCTATGATCCAAAGATAATATGATCTGGACCATATGTAAGCCCCAGTATAGCCAACAAAATTATTGAGGCCTTACTCATTGCTTCTTTTGTAGGTAAAATAATTTTGCACTGTTATTATTTTTCTATTTCAGTTGTTCTTTCTTGATAGTGTGTTAATCTCAGCCAACCTGAAGAACACCTTTTGTTCCAAGATGACTGATTTGAGATACTGTGAATGTCTGGATCACACACACACACAAAAAAAAAAAAAAAACAACAACAACAAAAAACTTGGAAAACTGGTCTGCTTGCATCAGAAATTAAATGCCTTTTCTTCAGTGAAGTATAGGAACCCACAACTGAACAGCAGAACCAGCTCAACCAAACACTGTTCTCAGTAGGTACCATGTTACGAAAAGGCTGGTGAAAAGTGATAAATCAGGTCTTTATATAATGGCCTTTCTTTCAGTGAAAATAGAGGTTTGACAAAAAATTAATTTAGAGATTGATCTAACCAAGTGGCTTGGAAGTCTCCCTCTTACCAAACTGGAAAGGGCTATGATATCAGTTCAGGAGTGACCACAAGTATAGAATGTTTTGATAATTAAGGCTTCATATTAAAGCAAATTAGTAGAAAAACTGGATGAGAAAGTCATGCTCTGGTTGGAAAAGAGGAACCAAATCTCTGCATCCAGTGGTAAATATTATAGAGCTGACTGGTATTGTTCTCAAGAATGTGAGGGCTGTCCTATTTTAGAGCTTTTAAATTTCCTCATCTGTTTCATTTCTCCTCTGCATCTTAATCATCAAACAGGCCAGTTTTTATATTATCCCATCGATGTAATGCCCATTTTTGAATTGAATTGTTCCAAACAGAATTTAAAATAAAAATAAAAAAAGTCAGAGCGTACAATAAATTACTGTCACATAGTGAAAAGAGAAAGTGTGCTTATGTAAAAACTTCCCACCTGTTTAATTGAATAGAATTATCTGTTAAAAGAATCACTCCTGTGCAAGCTGCATCCAACCTCAGATTCAGTTTGTATAAAAATATATAAATACGCAACTTACTGCACTGTATAAATTTGTTACCTAGGACTGTTCACAAACTTCCTCCCCTCCATAGGCAAACAAACAAAAAAAGTAATACAAATTCTGAAAATAATTAATTCTTTTTGTGTGACCTCCTAAAGTCACTGTGATGTATTTTTGCGGGCTCTTCTTTGGTGGATTCTTAGACCTTTCTGTGATAAATTTGTTGGGAAAGGCAAGTGACAAGCCCTCCAGTCTAAAAAAAAAGGACCCTATGTTTTGAACATTAAGAAGAGGTTTGTAATATACTCCACTTACATAATTAGGCAATATTTTCAATAAAACTTTTATCGACTTACTGAAAGTATTCCTAGATTTACCAAGGTTGCTACATCTTTTGTGCATACTTTTTTCCAGTGGATAAGTTAAGATTAACAAGATATTTGAAAATGAAAAAAAAAAAGGAAAAAAAAAATTAAGAGACATGTGAGTTGTTGCCTCATTGGTGTATTCAAGAACAGCTTCCTGTTGCTTTATCTGATGAAGCAGTTCTCTTTTCAGAAGCAGACATGGGTTACACTACCGATGGCATCATAGTGATTCTGCTCCGTGGTGAAACGTCTGCCTAGGTAAGTCTTCAAAACCCAAGAAGTCAGATAAAGATGTTATTTCCTGGTACAGATTTTGGCCTGGCTCTCTGTTAGTGTGATTTTGGCATACTGCAACAAGAAGAAGGGACACAAAAGGGACTGAACAGATTGCTTTGGGAGAAGGAGTATTTCACTCCCAGCACAAGTGAAACATGAGACAAACGGCAAATGACATCAAACGACTGAATTAGGAAATAACATGCCAGCTTGATTTATGGTTGTAATGGTATTGCATGATCAGAATACTTGTTGCTTAGGAGAAGGGAAAGGATGGAGAAAGACAGTATTTGGGGGTGAGTTTTCAGGATTCTGAATTGTCCTGTCTTCACTGCAAAAAAATGCCTCAAGCCCCACAGGTGGTTCCAGTAGCCATTCTGTTATTGTTCTTTCATATTTTATGGCACTAATAAGATACTCAGCACTATTTATATGAATATACTCAATGCTTAAAACTTAGCAGAAATATAAGCTATGCTAAAAAAGTAGCTTCTTAGAATACCAAGTGTCATGAAAATATTTTGTACAGCATCTTTCTGTATGCAGATCTGAAAACATGATGCACATAAGCATATAGCAAAATATTATTTGCCTACATGGCCTACATCCTAAGAAAACATAGCTTTTATTTTTCTGTTTGCTTATTTCAACAGAATTTTTATGCTGTATGAAACAGTCATAGAACCATAGAATCATAGAATAGTTAGGGTTGGAAAGGACCTTAAGATAATCTAATTCCAACCCCCCTGCCATGGGGTCCATAAGGTCTTATCAAAGCTAGACTGAGAGCTCTTTTAGACCTGTTGAAGTCTCTACAGAATCTTATGGAGACATTTGAGTGAAATTTAGTGTTTCATGAGAAAGCAAATGCATTTAGTGTTGCATTTTAAGCAAATCGTCCATGTTACAGAAAGGCATGTTTCAGATCTCCTAAACTGTGAAGCTTTTCAGAACTGAGTTTTGAGATCTGCTCATGAATAAAAAAGATCCAGCTGTGAAAGGTCCTTGTGCTTGAGGAAATCAGCTTGGCACTATAACTTTTTTGAGAGCACAAAGCATTATCTACTTTGTTGAGATTGCTTTGAGAGGAAAAAGAAATTAAGAAAACCCTATGTCCTTCCATCTCATGGCTGATATACAATAGCACCAGTACAACAGCTACTGCACTAGTTCACACACCATTTTTTTCTTCCCCTGAAGCTTACCTAAAAAGCGAAGTACCTACAAAAACTTAGCACATTATAATGAGTACTGCTTACAGCAATTTGCCCTTTAATGAATTTGAAATAAAGGGTGAAATGTTGCAGATGTTTCCAAAATTAAACTGGTGTTTATTAGCTTAGGAAAGATTTTTATCTAATCTTTTCTGTTAATAACACAAAATCCTTACAGTCTTCTGTCTGTCCCAATTCCCCAAGCTATAGTAGAATTCTGTATTCAGAATTACCTGAAAAATAAAGACTCCTCCATTCTTCCCTTAGAAAGTTTTTTAGAGATAAGAATATGGAATATCATTTTGTATTTGTGTTTCTGAAAGTATAACTTTATGCTTACATTGTTACTTTCAAAATGTCATAAATGGAAAGACCACATGAAGCTCTCTTTGAATCTGAAAAAGATACTGTAGGAATGCATCAATACAAATACAGTATGTAATGAGTACTTGCCTCCAAAAACTTTCCCAAGGTTCCTTTACAGGCTTGTTTGCATACATTACTCAAAGCATGGCATTTGCTAGGCCATTTCTCTGAATCTTCTGTCTGACTGACTTTTGTCAGAGTTCTTGTACAGCAGGTGTTCTGTGGCAAAATGACAGACAGGGACAATGATAATCATTGAATAACGTGGCTAAAAGAAAATATTACTGTTGAGCGGGGTTTTGTTTGGTTGGGTTTGTTGGTGTTTTGTTTCATTTGAAACACATCTGATACTAAAGCCTATAAAATAAGTAACAAGTCTGCAGAATTAGTCATAGTGAGTTTGGTACATGAAAGTCAAATCATTAAATTACATATCAATAAACAGAAATTCCTCAATAGTTTTTTAGAAAAATCCATTAAAAATAAATCAGTAAAAAAAAAAAATCCATTTAAAAATCAGTGGGAAAAAGTATCAAATGTTGTGTTTTAGGAAGGCTGTAAGCCAGTAACATCCTCCTGGGCAAAACCAGCAAGTACACTCAGCAGCTGAGAGAAAACCTGGTAATGCTTCAGATGTTGCATTCAGATAAGGCAAATCATTTTGCATTGCAGTCATCATATTGCAGTTGTAATTATCAGAGAAAACCTAAGGAAAGAGATATGATACAGACCACTTTCCCCTGGTAACTGTGATGAAATGTGTCGTAATTGGGGCAAAACAATGCTTTCTGCTTTGATATTTCTGTGCAAGAAACTGCTGCATGCTCTGTGGTATAATTCATTTGCTGGTTCTTTAACACACTTCAGTATAGGTCACTGAGACATGCCAGTATGACACACTTGTTACTATTATCATTGAAAGCATGTCGTCATATAAGTAGCATCCATGTGTCATCAAAGCTGGGACATTACCTGGGGTATTTCAAATAGCCTCCAGGGCTTCATTCCTAGACACTATTGGTGATACTGGTTAAAGATAAAATTAAAGCTACTGGCTACAGTGACCTGTGAAAAATGGACAGAAAAAAATTGCCAATGTGGCAAATTTCAAGTGATCTCAACTCTGAATCCCATCTTCAGCATCCTGGCCTGCCATTAGCCAATTATATCTTAAGATACTGGTTCCTTAATGCAGATGGCAACAGACCAAAGCAAAGTCTTGTCCCCCCTCCCCCCCCCCAAAAAAGGGGTTTGTTCAGACAAGTGCAGTATGAGGACAAGTGTTCCATCTTACGATCAGTGAGAACAACAGACACAACTTCTAGAAGCAATGAGGTAAAAAGAGAAAGCTGAAGGAAAAATACGGGTGGTATCAAGAAATTGGCATGTTGGTCTGTGAGTACATAGGAGAGAGCTGATAAAGCTAACTTTGAGAGAACCAATTGTAATGAGACAAGTTGGGATCTTGTAAGGATGGTAAGTCTGTAATGTAACAACTTGACTAACAATGGAGAAAGAGGTTGTGGGGGAGGGAGAAGGAATTCCAGTTTCTCAATCACATGACTAGTAGACACTGCCTCATACATTTGCTACATTACACACATGCTTCTGAAAGGGCATGTTTCCCTGTTAGACACGAAGAGACCTGTCTTAGGAAAAGAGATGCTAAAATGTGATTAGAAGAAGAGGTAGGTATTCTATCTTTTACTCATCTGGTCAGTCTGCATATGTTTGCTTTGCTTTTGGTGAGAAGTGGGTCAGCAAAACCCTGAGATCCAATTTGTAGAGCTAGATTTTTTATTCATGATACTTATCTATACTGGTAAGCTTACAATGCCCTATTTACTGTGTGGTTTTACTAAACCACACTGAAAAGCAGACATCTGCAGTTTTAACTAGTTACCATGTAAGTAAAGCTGCTCAATGGACCAGATTGGCAAGTCCTTCTCAAGAATTTTCCTTGTCTTTCAAGCATGTGAATGTATTTTAGCTGTAACTGCGAAAAGTTAGCCAACTTGGTCAAATAAAGCAGTGGCTGGTAACATTAAATATGTGCTTTCTGACTAGTTCTGTCATTGCTCCTTTTTTTCTAAATGCACATTGAAGTTTGGTTTTTTTTGTGGAAAAGGGATCCATGTAATAACCTTTCAACAGAGGCAATAAACCTATTTGGGTTTCTCTGATAAACACACAGACCTACACACATGCATCAAACCAATAATAGGTAGAATTAATATGCCTGCTACATGGGAAGATCCCTGCACCTAAGTTGTCTCCAGTCTGTGCTGTTTCCTATGTGGGAACACTTGTAGGTAGTGCTGTCTTGCAACCTACTTGCTCTACCACCTGTTCACTTACTCTGCTGGCAGTCTAGGTTCAAACCACAGGTAAGTTATTGCAGGCAGTCTCCGAAGCATTATTTTTGTCAGTAGAACTGAACTACAACAAATGTTCCCCATTCTCGAATTCCCTTAACAGATCTTTGGAGAACAGAATCACTGAGCGTCAGAGCTGTGATACAATCAGTGGGTACCAGCTGTCTCATAGTTATGGTTGTACACCTTTTCTTTTTAAAAGGTCAGCTTTGTTAACTGCTTCTAGGGGTAATGCACACAATTCCTCCAGCCCCACTGCTTTAGTCAGGGCTGCCATTTGACTGATATTTACATGCTGAAACTCTCAACACCACAGCCCTAGCAGTGCCTAAGATAACCTTAATCGCTGATGGTTTGGTAACCATATGTGGCAACTGCAATTTTTACAGGAAAGAAGCGTAAATGAAAAATTGCTCTCAGAAAGTCTCCGCCTCGTATGAGTCTGAGTGACACACCAAGAGATTCTCCTGTGCATGCAGGAACCCAGTAGCCTGAGAGGCTTCACTTGAGGGTTTCTGAAACATGGAGCAAGCTTTGCTAGAATAGCACAGTTGATGGCAAGTTCTTGGGGGATCACATACAAAGGAGGAGAGGGAAGCAGGGAAGCATGAGGATGCTCAAGTTAGGAGAGGGATTTGCATAAAAGCCACATGTTCTCTTCTGAGCAGATCCCAACATCTAGTGGTACCTAAATGTGTGTCATTCTGTCCTTGTCTTTGCATTGACTTACAGGGGAAGATGTTAGTTGGGATAAGAAATCTGCCATATTTGTATGGCCAAAACCCTGTCCTGCTCGTCAGAATAGTATTTTATTTGTGGTGCACTTTCTGATCTCTTTCAACTGTCACACAGGAGAGACCTGGAATTGCAGGACCCTACACCTCTGGAAGTGTCTTTACTCATTCTGCTTCTGCTATAGAAGCTTGAATCTAACTCACCTTGATCACTTTAGATATTTGGGTTCCCCTTACTATTTACTCCTAACTAGAAGCATTTAAAAACCTCATACAAACAACAGTTTCTTTCTTCTAAAAAAGACACCCTCCAAGAAGCCCATTAAAAAAAAAAAAAAAAAAGTTGTTATAGCTGATCTTTTTCCTTTTTGGTAACAGAAGGCTGGAATCTTACCAACAAGGTCCTGAAGAACTGATAAACAGATGACCACCCGTCAGACTACACAGGGGTCTTTATTGCATCCAGGCTGGAATTAGCCCAAAGATACTACTCAAAGTGGACAATGAACAACACTGCTGAGTGCCATGATGATCACACCCTGGATAAGTATTTATTTCCACTTGTGTACAGCGTTGTGATGATCATCAGTATTCCTATCAACTGCATAAGCCTCTATGCATCTTGCATTCAGGTGAGGAAGAAGAATGAGTTAGCAGTCTACATCTTCAGCCTATCCCTGGCTGACCTTTTGTACTCTCTAATTCTGCCTATGTGGATTGATTATGCCTGGAATGGAGATAACTGGAGACTCTCTGCCTTGCTTTGTCAGATTTCTGCCTTCCTTATGTATATGAATTTCTACACTGGTACTGCGTTCCTTGCTTGCATCTCTGTTGACAGGTATCTGGCATTAGTTCACCCCCTGAAGCTCCAGCACTTGCGCACAAGAAGATTTTCATTGATTGTCAGCATAATTGTTTGGCTTCTGGAAAGCACCTTCAATTCAGTCATATTGGTATACAAAGAAGTGTTCCATGATCCTTGCAATTTCACTAATCATACATTATGCTATGACAAATACCCCCTGGAATGGTGGCAGGCACAGATAAATTTATTCCGGATATGCTCAGGGTACCTGCTCCCTTTGGTAATCATTGTGTTTTGCTACCATAAAATCTACCAAGTAGTAAGGTCTAATCAAGCCACAATAGATGAAGAGAAGAAAAAAGTAAGGAAACTTATTCTGAATATCACAGTTACTTTTGTTGTTTGCTTTACTCCTTATCATGTTATGTTGTTTATTCGCAGCATCAAAGAACCTTACACCAGTGACCCACAGCTTTTGCAGTTGATGTATAAGGTTTACAGAGTCACACAGGCCTTAACAAGTTTGAATTGTATTGCTGATCCCATTCTTTACTGCTTTGTGAGTGAAACTGCACGAACAGACATACTGAATTTGCTCAGGTGTTGCTTGTGCCTACAAAAGCATGAGGGAGACCAAGTGAAAGATCATGCCCTGTGCAGTTCTGCTATAAAGAGCAGTGAACTGATCATCTCCAGAACTTTCTGTGAAACGGAGTCTGTCACAAAATCCTGAACAAGGAAATTTGCATAATGAAAATAGCAAAGAAAGAAAAATTCTTCCCCAGTTTCTACCTAGGAAATACTCCAAAAATCAATGATACTAATCTAAGTGAAACCAGTAGCTGGAGCTGATAAGAACTTATTATAGGAGCAATGAAATAAATGCAGCATCAACACATATCTTTAAATCAGACCTGGTACATAAATCCATGTTGACAAACAAACGCACAGTCAAAATGACCCTGACACACTGATAAAATTACTTAGGATCTCTCACAAAAATATTTCCTGTCACAGCTTGCTAGCTAGCCCACATGCTGGGCATACACATACTGAGCTGGAGGAAGCTGAAATCCTCTTAACCTAGTAATTTGATTTCAAGTTTTAGTTGAAATCTAAGCTTAGCTGGGAAGGAGCCCCAAAAGGGATTTTATTTATTTATTTTTTTTTTAATCAGTACTGTGATAGAAGTGAATAAAGCACACATAAGTGAAAATCATTCAAATGATTGATAAAGGAGCGTACAGAGGTAGGATGGTAAATGTTCTCTCTAATGTCATGCTGTGATTTATGCTGCTATGGTGGTTCCTGTGTTTCAGTAATTACTTGAGTTCTCCTTCAGCGTACCCCTGCGATTAGCCATTTCTTACAATTGCTTACCTCATGCGGACAGGTAGTTACCTGCTCTTAAGCTTTTCAGCTTTTGTTTTCTTTGGAAAATATATGTTCTAATGTATAACCATATGTTGTGTAGTTTCATTACAATACCAAGTTTCAGACAGTTGAGTATTCATTACTTCAAGTTCCTATAGAAAACCAAATTTTAGACATCAGTGTTTTAACTCAGATTAAATTTTTGCCAATATATTCAAGAAGGAAAGAGAAGGATTGAAAGGTGAGGTTTCACATCTCCACAACATAAAGGATCACCCTTTAATCTTGCTTATTATGACTGAAATCTAGAGCGTGTTTGTGTTTGCAGAGTCAGTAGATCAAGAAGGTTTATACCCATTTTCATAACTGTACATGGAAGCTTTGGCTGGATGTTCCTGGGCTTTCAGTCTGACAGTTCTGAAAAATCAAACACAAACCAGCAAGCAATACTGACAAACCAGCAAAGGACATGAATGTACCAACAAACATTAAGAATGGTGGCTAAAGTACCCACATTTTTAAAAGTTTGAAGTTGGCACAAATAAAAGTACAGCTGTCAGTTCAGGGGCCTGTTAGTTGCACAGGCCCCTGCAACTGCTGTGGGGTTCCCTGGTAGCAGCAGGCACTGAACCCTCTGAAAAGAGTTAAAATACCATGGAAAGTCTGCTTTCTCTCTTCTCTCAACCTTTTCACTTTTGTTCAGCTGCCAGGAAGAATGTTTGGTTATGGCGGTTGCCCATTTTCATAGGGAAATTTTTTTTTCTTGAAAAAGTCCTCCTGTTGCAAGTCCATGTAGCTGAAAGAGTATGAGGATTTTGGCAAGCACTTTTTCAGTACACTTCTAGGTCTGACATTGTACTTGGAGGTTAAGCATAAGGTGGTCACAAGCAATATGGAAATTCTTATGAGAAGATCCTTCTGCCTGTAAATCATAAATTTCTCTATTACAAAGAGCCACTTTCATTGTTTTCATGAATTCATGTTTGTGTCTGTTTATACTTTTGATTAATTTCACATTCTGCAAAGAAACCTTGAGAGGCTGAGGAGGATGGGCTTGTTCATCCTGGAGAAGACTTTGTGGACCTAGTGGCAGCCTTGCAATACCTGCAGGGAGGGTATTGAGAAGAAGGAACCAATCTTTTCAGAAGAGTGCATAGCAGGAGGACAATAAGTCATGTGCATAACTTGAGGCAAGAAGGGTCAGAGTTGATGTAAGGAAAAACTTTTGAACTACAATGACTGACAAGCAGTGGAGCAGGTTGCACTATGATGTTCTACATGCTCCATCCTGACAGGTTTTCCAGACTGAGCTGAACAAAGCCCTGAGCAACATGGTCTGGCCTCATAGCTGACCTTCTTTGCGCACAAGGTTGGACTAGAGACTTCCTGAAGTGCCTTCCAACCTGAATTGTCATCGGTCCTATAGACTGTGTATGTCAGTATTCTGGCTGTTGCTTCCTCTCTAAAAAACTATGTTCCATTCTTTTCTTTGTTTCCATTTGCTGGATTTTCATAGAATCATAGAATAGTTAGGGTTGGAAAGGACTTTAAGATCATCAAGTTCCAACCCCCATGCCATGGGCAGGGACACCTCGCTCTAAACTATATCACCCAAGGCCACGTCCAACCTGGCCTTGAGCACTGGCAGGGATGGAGCATTCACAACCTCCCTGGGCAACCTATTCCAGTGCCTCACCACCCTCACAGTAAAGAATTTCCTCCTTATATCCAATCTAAACTTCCCCCATTTAAGTTTTAACCCATTACCCCTTCTCCTATCACTACAGTCCCTAATGAAGAGTTCCTCCCCAGCATCCCTATAGGTCCCCTTCAGATACTGGAAGGCTGCTATGAGGTCTCCACGCAGCCTTCTCTTCTCCAGGCTGAACAGCCCCAACTTTCTCAGCCTATCTTCATATGGGAGGTGCTCCAGTCCCCTGATCATTCTTGTGGCCCTCCTCTGGACTTGTTCCAACAGTTCCATGTCCTTTTTATGTTGAGGACACCAGAACTACACACAATACTCCAGGTGAGGTCTCATGAGAGCAGAGTAGAGGGGCAGCATCACCTCCTTCGGCCTGCTGGTCACACTGCTTTTGATGCAGCCCAGGGTACGGTTGGCTTTCTGGGCTGCAAGCGCACACTGAAGCTGGCTCATGTTCATTTTCTCATCGACCAGCACCCCCAAGTCCTTCTCCGCAGGGCTGCTCTGAATCTCTTCTCTGCTCAGCCTGTAGCTGTGCCTGGGATTGCTCCAACCCAGCTGCAGGACCTTGCACTTGGCATGGTTAAACTTCATGAGGTTGACATCAGCCCACCTCACAAGCATGTCAAGGTCCCTCTGGATGGCATTCCTTCCCTCCAGTGTATCAACCGAACCACACAGCTTGGTGTCATTGGCAAACTTGCTGAAGGCGCACTCAATCCCACTGTCCATGTCAGCGACGAAGATGTTAAACAAGACCGGTCCCAACACCGATCCCCGAGGGACACCACTCGTAACTGGTCTCCAGCCGGACATTGAGCCACTGACCACAACTTTTTGTGTGCGGCCATCCAGACAGTTCTTTATCCACCGAGTGGACCATTCATCAAATTGTTGTCTCTCCAATTTAGAGACAAGGATGTCGTGTGGGACAGTGTCGAACACTTTACACAAATCCAGGTAGATGACATCAACTGCTCTTTTTTGTTTTGATGTGAGGGGTTTTTTTTCTGTAATACTTTCTTATATGTTATGAAGGAAAAAGTATGCAAGCAGCAGTGCAAGTTATTTCACCACAGATTTCCTGTGCTTATGTATTGTCTATGTATTTTGCAACAGAGTGTGAAATTTCACTGCAGCACTGGAAAAAAAAAAAAATAAAAGCAGAACCAAGCTTCACTGTAACTTCATGGAAAAAATAACTCAGTGGTTCATTTCTTGACCTTCCAGAAGCCAGAAAGTTTGGAAAGCTAATTCTATTGAGGCTTTTCATTTATTTTGAATAAAGAATAATGCAAACTAAAACGAAGTAACAAAACTGAGCCAAATTTTGTTTGCTCTGCAAGGGACAGGGAGCCAGGCAGGCTGGGCAACATCCTGAGGAGCCACAGAGTCCCACAGCACACAGAGCAGATCCATCCATGGTAACCAGCATTGGGCAACAGCTCTGTGATCACCAGACAAATCTGTAATAACAAGGCACACCTGAGGTCAAGCTGGGAGGCCATGGCAGGAAGGCATGGTCAGGATCAGCAAAGTGCAAGGCTGGTCTTGTCTGTACCATGTGAGCCCTGATATCTGCACAGGCAGCTAAACCCGAAAGAGGCAGGAGAAGAGACCACAGACTCTGGTAAACACAGGGCCCTGACCCTGTGAAAAGAGCTTCATTTCCACAAAATTTATACTTTTTAATATTCCACGCATGCTTGTGAAAGCCATAGCTTGGACCAGCTTACTTCAGTCTGTTTGGATATTTTTCATAGCATCATTTCCTTTAGTACCTCCCTGCATTGCTGGAAATTCGCATCAAGGTAAAGGAAGATTATGACAATGAAGGCCTATAGGCTGGGCTTCCTGAGAAACCTCAGGTAAGTTCAGGGTCCTATCACTTTATGAGAACAAAATGTAGGTACCTGATCGCTTAAATTGTTCTGAGATTTACTGAAGTGTTCAAGTCATAGTCCTCTGGAGAAAAGAGGAAATTTAGATGCAAACACTACAGTGTCCTATAGTACAATCATTTGTGTGTTTACCTCATCATTCTTACATACCTAATAATGTACACTTTTTCTTTTTTCAGTCCCTCTCCGAATTTGTTTGTTCCAGCTGGACCAAAACATCCTGCCATGTTAAAAAAAATATCTGTATTCTTTTTAACTTTTCAGGTTACCAGACAGGCACTTTTCACTATGCAGAAATGGCTTCATCCAGGCTCCAGTCCACAATGTGTATTATTGTTTTTGAATATTACACTTAGAATTCCTCATGGCTCTGCAGGGAAAAAAAACAGGTGCAAGTCCAAAGGAACACTTCCCAAAGCAAGGACATTCCTTACAGAAACAAGTTTATAAAATCCAAATATTTCTTTATTGGCAAGAAGAAATGCATGCATTTAAATTCCACTTTTCTCACAGACAATGCCTAAAAGCATTAATGTATGTATGCCCTCGGTGAGTCACTGTATTTCCTATCTCAATTCCTGATCTGTACAATAAGAATATGGATAATTAAAAGGGCTGTGATGGTGATTTAGTTAATATCCACAGCATATGAAATATCAGTGCCAAATGGTTTTGTCAGCATAATAAAGGAGAGGTGAATTTATATGTCAATAATTCCCTTAAAGCAGAATCCATCTGCCAAAAATGCAGCAGAGCTATAGCTTAGCTTGTAAGTTGGGAGTTTTTCAGTGAACAGTGATGATCTAGCAGGTGGAATTTCAGACTTCATTTAATATGTTTTTCCCAGAATCTTAGCCACAACCTGCATCAGTGCCATCATGATGCATATCATTATTCTTTTCTGATGCAACTACGTATCAGCTTTGCTTTTTTAATGTCAATGGGGTCATGACTCACATGGTTGTAGGCTGACAGAGACTCTTGCCTAGCCTTTTCCTTTTTTTTGAGTCTCTAACAGTTGTAACTTCAGAGCCCCTAAGATGAAGGGAAGTGTGAATTTGAGTTATAAGAAACATATTCCACTTCCTGTTTCCATTCACAGAGAATGACACTACTAAAATAATTCTTGTAAGTCTAGCAACAGTCTAATAGCGACAGCTTAATACCAGTAAAGGGAGCATAAGGGCATATTTTAGACACTGTCATATTACTTAAGAGTTTCATCACTGTTATCATCAGTCTAGATCTCTATTCTAAGGTGGTAAAAGAGCAAACTGTTCATTTTTCCCATGCCTCCACACAGCACAGAGTGAGAACATGGGCAGGTTAGGGCACTTGGGACCAGCATGATCACAATTGCAGAAGATCTGCTTGCACAGACCGAGCTCAGCAGGAGCCAGGGGCAGCTGCTGCACCTACAGGCCAGTGCTGTCAATTGCCAGGGCATGAGACAGCAGCTCTTCATGGTCCCAGAGCCCTGCAAGATGGCAGCTTACCCCTGCCTAAAGCTCTCTGTTCCACTGCACCTGCAGGGACCCCAGCAGCACTGATCCAAGGCAGCATCTGAGAAGTGATGCTCTGGTGCTTATAAGGGGAAAGGGAATGAAACACCTTGTGCATCACATAAAGGTTTTTCTTTTACTGCTGCACCACAATGGCCGTGTTACGGATAAACTGCAAAGCCTAAGCTGGCATAGGGAGGCTTTGGCTGCTCAGAAATGAATTTAAAGTAACCAAGCTATTTCACCTAAATCTTGTAATATCCTAGAAAGCAATAAGGTCTGTTCTGGACTAGGGCCTTAGGAAACAAACTAACAACAAGCAAAAAAACCACCCCAAACAGGAAACAGAAAAGTGTGTATCAAATGAAAGGTAAAGCCTGATCCAGGTGAATTTCAAAGACATTGCCTACGACACCATGAGATCCTCTTCTGTGCCAACACAAAGGCACTGACAGCAGGGTATATCATCTACAGTCTCTATCCAGCCTATGTACAGCAGAGCAAGAATGCACATCCCATGGCATCTCTCACTGAACATCAGAGTGTACACGTATATCGTAATCACATCACTAATGGGGAGTGGGAATGCTAAAACAGTGGAGGTGTGAAACACCTGTGGGGAAAAAAAAAAAAAAGGTGGAAAAATAGGTCAATTCCTTTTTTGTTCTGTTTCTGAAATTAACTTTGACTATTTTTGTGACTATGTGGCACATTGCTTTTCAGATGAGATACTGGAGTTAATTTAGACAATGACTTTCACAAGCTTTTCCCAAGAGCTGGTCCTAATATCACCAAATCTGTGCTGTATTCCATGCCAGCTGAAGCTTTGTTTTTGAATTCTTGTGGAAACTTGACCTTGTCATTTCTCACTGTTTAAAAGCTTCTTCCCTTTAACATCAGATGTGCAAAGTAATGTCTGCTTTTCCAACCCCGAATGAAGAACTACACCCAGGAGTAATCTTGCTTCAAATTTCTAGCATTTTAGCACAGTTTGTGTCTTGATCCCAGCCCTATCTTAGAATTATACTGTGCTACTGGAAAAAATTGTTGCCTCAGTTGCCTTCATCTGATAGCTGGTACTGTAGCAGATGTCATGGCAAGTGCTAAATCCAGAAAGCTACAGTTAAAGGGGAGGTTCATACATTGTCTTCTGTTTCAAATACTTAATTATGCACATGAGGAAACACTGTGAGGAAAATGCAGTTAGTTCATCTTGTAAATGCAGCATGGGCAGAATCCCTCAGGCTCACATCCTTAAATGGAATGAACTGATGAGACTGAGGCATGACTGATGAGATTGTCTCTTCTGGGTTGCAGAAATTAGCAGCTTCATTCCAGTGGACACAAGGTAGGGTTGGAAAAGAGAGCTCCAGTGAAAATGCATCCTCCCCTTGTTTTTCCCTGAACAGACTACTTCTGGATGCCAGATGAAAAACTGAGACAAAGCAGTCCACCTCAGGTCACAGCAGGCTCCACAGCTATTACAGTCTCTTCCATTTCAGCTTTCCACAGTCCATCCAGACACACAACAGATGATTACTAGATGTGAGATTGTGCAGCCAATTGCCTCAGGACACAGCCCCATTGTTTTCCCTTCCCTTCCCTTGACACCTCATTGTTCCTATTAGTATCCTAGTTTGAGCCACCAGATCTCAAGCATGACATCTCTAGGGTGTCACAAAGTGGGCTGGCTTATGGCAACTCACCTTCTGAGGTATCATTTCACATTAGGAGACCCAGGGACTGCTGAGGAAGAACGAAGGTAAGAAGCTGTGACTCTTAGAGGGCAAGAGGAATTCTATTGCAAATATCTATGAAGCAATTCCTGAGGTTTTCAGAATGAGGGAATGAGCACATGGCTTCACCCATCATCTTTGCTTATCCTCATGGACTGCAGCACAATAAATAATCCTCAGCAAAGTTTTCTGCTGCTTCTGACAATACAGTGCAGCAAAAAAAAAAAAAAAACCCTAAAAAAAAAAAACCAAAAAAACAAAAAAAACAGAAAAACTCAAACTATCAGTGACTGCTGATACATTCATGGCAACCCCATGCAGGCAGAAGTGAGCTCTCCTTGGCATGCAGAGAATGAGCCGTGTCACTGGCAGCTTAGTTAGTGCATGTGAACTGAGATGTACAGGAAAACAATATTGCATTTGCATTTGTTACAGTTAGTGACAGAAATATGTGAAATATAGGGTGTAATTTTTTGGACACCTGTTTTGACATGACCAGTGCCAGTCTTCCTTCCTCAACCATATGGCTGTTGCTGCAATGCACAGTGTTTGAAGCCAGCCTACATATCACTATGGAATCTCATAATATAGCAGAAGTAGTAAGATACTACAGAGTATTCTGAAGGCATTGCCAATGACTCAACATTTAACCTCTCATTGAAATTTCAAGCCGGTTGTAACTCCCCATGTTCTGTTTAAGTAGCACATTTTGTCACTATCTAGTGTTCACACTTAGAGCATAATTTGTCTTTATAGAAAGGAAGAAATAAAGGTAGGCAGTAGCATTTAGCAGTTTAAAATTAACTCCTTTTGGAAAGGAAAAAATTCAGTCACAAAGTGGTTTTAGATCCCTGTTACATCACTTTAGATAAGCCCGGCAAATGCAGTTTCAAAAAGGCCTAGAGATATTTATCATAATTGAACACCGCAAATCCGTCTCTATCAAGAGAGGTCAAGGGAAATAACTTTATTTGAAGGAAAATAAAATCCACAACAACAAAAAAAAAAAACACCTGTTCTTCCTGTAGCACTTTTTTACTCTTGATTTCTACAGATTTTTTTAATGTGGTTATTTGAAAATCACAGCTTTTGTACCCAGAGGTTCTTACATATTTTCCTTACCTTTTCTTGTGTTTTATGTTTAGCACTGCACGAAAGAGTCTTGACGACATGAATTTTAAGTGCCTAAATGTAGGAGAGGGAAAAAAAGAATCCAAAATCTAGTATGTTTTAAATGTCATCATTTTTTTAATCAAATCTTCACGGTCATTTGCTCTATGTTTTTATAAAGCTTAATGTTCAGTTAACTGTAACAGGAAGCAACCCACAAAGGGTGCCAGGGTAGAAACACTGGAAAAGTTTAAAGTTCAAGAATGTTTTGGTAGGTATGGAAAGTTTTACAGACTACAGATGCCTGTTCAATCACTCAGGTCAAGCCAAAGGAACCTGCAAAATGATTTAGCTAGAAGCCTTTGCAAAAATTGCAAACTTGGTACAGGTATGTTTATCTTTTATTTGTTGCGCATTCATTTTAATTCGTTACAAACATATTACAAGTGAAACCACTTCTGTGGCTTTTAGCCAACTATACAATCTACTTGCTATTGACAATTCATTCAGAGAAACCAGGACCAAGACATCTGAGACCTTTTGAAGCACTACTTATGGAGGAGGCATAAGACACCCAGTACAGACTTTAAATCTGGCTCTTTACTCAATACCCCTGTAAATACACTGCAAAGACATTAAAATAAGCACCATCATGATTACAGTGGGAAGTGGTAGGAGTCCCTATGCTTGGATACAAATTGTATTCTGGAAAATGCCTGCTTTCCTGTCACCTCAGCAAATTGTACCTTCAATGTATGATTTGCTCTTGCAAAGTATTAGGCACCATTTTCACTCAAAGAAATGCAGCAAAATATTGCATAGAGACAATTATCTCAGTTGTGTTTACAGCAGACTTGTGTGAAATGAGTGAGCTGAGAGATTATCTTCGCTAGGTGGCGATTTTGGTCTCTCCAGACAGGTTTTATAGACGAGCAGAAAAAAAAGAATCCTAGTTTAGAGATGCATTTCTTATACAGAAGAAAAGGGAGTCTGGGAACAGAGCTGACCGCTGCACCTCGAGTTCCTGTGAAGCTAGGGTGAGCTGTGGTGATCCTTTCAGCCTCTGCAAGCTGTCAGGCCATGAATCATCAAACCCAGGAGCATGAAACAAAAGGCCTAACACCAACACCTGTATAGGGTTTTTTTAGCCTGGTTTTATTAGCAGCTGATTTGTTCTTGCTTTTCTTTGTAATAACTTTTTTGTTCAATTGTGTCTCCTTTCTTCCCAGTATTTATTCCAGTATAAATATGTACATACATTCACAAGCAACATCCATCTACATTACTAAACAAAGCAGGCTTTTCCAGCCTCTAGCCTGATAAGCCCCCGATTCCCAAATTCATCCCACTAGCCTTTTATTGTAGTGTCCTAGCCAAGCTCTCTTCTTGGGACTGGCACCAGTTCCAGCATACCACCAATGCTCACTCAGAGCTGCTATAAAGCTCTCCTGTGTCTGCTAAAACACCCCATTTGATATGTCACGCCAGCACATGTATGACACATTTCACCAGCAGTTCAAACTCATCCTGCGGTCAGTCAGCTCCTCTCCTTGGACATTTATAACAGATGGGTTCTCAAGGCTACAGCTCTCTTACTGTCAGCCTCCAAATCCATCAGAATATATTTTACACTGCTGAACAACACCACTGCTGCCACCACACCCTGCAAAGACGTTCATGCTTTACCTTTTCATTTCTTTGCAGACATTCCTTTCCCAGAAGTACAATAAAACATTTTCATCTTCACGCTTTCTCAATGATGAGACCTTTCACCTCCTGCATTAGAGTCATGTTCCTCCACATCACTTCTTAAACTCTGCAGTATCCAACTTCACTCTCAACATTCCCCCTGCCTTCTTCCCTCAGCTTTTATTGCTGTGTATGATGTCACAGAGTTCGGGATATCCACTGGGTCAGCTGGGGTTGGCTGTCGGGGCTGTGTCCACTCCTAACTCCTTGTTCACCCTCAGCCTGCTCACTGGTGGGGTGGTTTGAGAGGCAGAAAAGGCCTTGACTCTGTAAGCCCTACTCAGCAGTTCCATCCCTGTGTTGTCATCACTGTTTCAGCACAAAGCCAAAACACAGCCCATACAAGTTTCTAAGAAGAAAATGAACTCTATCCCAGCCAAAACCAGAACATCAGGCCAGTCACAGTTTTAGCTGATACCACTGCTTTCTTTTCTTCCCTGTAACTGCAATTAGTATTCCTCCATCCTTTGCTATATTCACGGTTTTCTTCTGTGTATTAAGACCAGAAAGAACAACTGCACAAGCTTCTTTCATTACTTCGGTGACACCAATGAATCTTCTCAAACCTAGAACTCAAAATTCCCATTAATTAGTTTTCTGAACAATTTTCATCTTCATTTCAAAGTGATTTACGTGTCTCAGGAAACAGTATGGGATGAATTCAGTTCCTAGCATTTATTAAGGTTGCTCCTGTGTGGTCAGTTTTTATTCTAAGCTCTATTATTCTTATGAAAAAAAAAATGACATTTCAATAATGTGATTCTCAAACACAATTCCAAATGTCTGTAACTAGAACAAGGAATTAAAGCTAATAAGGAATTAAACCCTGCGCTGAACTATAGGAACTTCTTTTTTTACCATCAGGACATACCTGGACACTAAAATGTAAATAATGACGTGTAGTACACCATCAGCTCTCATTTTGCTGGTTCGATCATATGTATTTAAATACTAAATTTAACAAAGAAATATATAAATATTATGTTGTGCAGCTCTACCCAATGTGAAGCATTAGGTTGCTCTTCTTTTTACTTGTGCCTCCATTTCACTAGTCCTTGCCATGCATTCTCTTTTTTCTTTTGTCTTTTTTCCCAATTTCATTCTATGTTGCTCCACCTTGCTGTCTTATATGTCCAGAAGAATATTTGTACCATAATCTCTGCTCACATACTTACATCCTTATTGCTAAATGTATGAAACCTTGATCCACTGCACAGTAAAGGGAAGTGTCATGTTGTTGGCAAGGAAAAAATGTATGTCATTAGGTATCAGTATTTTAGCTGGGTCAGAAAGGGTGCATTTACCATAATAACAGCTACAAGCTCTCAATTTTCTTTCATATCTAAATGAAAATGAAGACTCTTGGGCATAATGAGAAGATACTTTCAGTGGAGCATGGCAGCTTTACATCTATTACAAAGTTAGCCTTTGGATAGTAAAGTTTCCTGTTGCTGCCATGTGGAGCTCTGGTTCTTTCCATCAGCTCATGTCAGGCTTTTATTTCTGGAAAGCTTCCAACTTGTAAATGCTGGGTGTCACTCAGCACTCTGCTGGGTGCACACTCACTGGAAAATTGCCATATGCAACCTCAGAGAGCCCCCAGGACAGATCCTTAACCTTTTAGCACCATACTGATCTCCCCCGCACTGCTTTATCTCTTGGTAGCTCACTGCTAGTTCGTTTTGCTCTCATATGGGAAGGATAATGAGAAGAATCTTGCTGAGCCCTTACATCGTATTAATAATTATATGGGAATAAACACAGTCAGAATAACTGTAGGGTGCTATGTTGGGCAGGAATAACAGCTACCTATTTAAAACAGGATGCTTTTTCCTCTGTGCAATGAAAGGCAGAAAAAAGAAAAATTGCCAGAAAATGAAATGGATTTGTGTTAAATTAAAAAAGAATATTTTCTTTGTCCTGCACCATCTACTGAGTGCAGTTTTCCTGGGCTGAGAGTCTTCCACCAGCCTTGTTGACTCAGCAGATGCTGATATATAGTTCACAAGCTATTTTTAGGAAATTCATCAATGCAGTGTTAGTTAAGGTAAAAACATTTATTAAAAGCTGGGGTACCAAATGAAGCCGTGTTTTAGGAATTCAGCCATGAATCAGGCTGTGGGGACAACAGAAAAGAGTAATTATGCATGAGCTAAATTCACTAGCAAAACCCCTGTTAATCCTTTGAAAGCCTAATTAAGGAGTCAGTAATGGTTTTCTAATATGTAAGTATGAAATCTAACATCAAGACTTTTAGAAATAAAATTAATATCCACATTTCAGAACTTGAATTACAGTAGCAGTAATTAATAATGTCATGACCCCATCATCCCCTTCCTCCTATGGAAATGTGAAGAAATTTCTATCATTGTCAGCTAATCAGCTTTCATTGTTGAAAAAATCTCTTCATATTCTCAGATATGAGTAGCAATGAAGGAAGTATTAAATGTATTTATTTGCTTTGAAATGCTTTCATAGATATGCAGGCATTGCAATGGGGTGCTCAAAGGATTAGATGAGCTATACCTAATTAAAAGCTCTCTGAGCTGTTGACCATGGAGCTTGACGAAAGATCAACAAAAAGCTTTTCCAGTTCATCCAGGAGTCAGCACGTTGTTGCTTGCCAAGGAAGTATTTAAAAGGACAGTCCAGCTATTGTGGGAAGGGCACGTGAACAGTACTGCACACACAGCAGATAAGCTTCCTAGGGTGAGTCGTGAAGGCATTCACAGGAAGCTTTGGGAATGCCTAATAGTTGCCATTTCTGAGGGTGCTTAGTCTGCTGACACATCAGTGACATCTGCCCCTGACCTGTTTTGCTTCCATGCTGTGGTTTCAAATACTGAGTTGTGACAGCACTTGTCTGAGCCATGACAGAATTTGTCTTTTGATGACAGGAGAGCACGTAGGCAGCAAAGATGAAAGATGCAGTAGCTGTAGCTCTTTATCACATTGTTAGTATTAAATATTTGGCTTACAGTCTTTGTCAGAGGGTCTCAGAGCATCACCAGAAAAGCACAGGAATTTCCAGAATTGGTTTGTATGCCTATAGCCTGTTACCGCTGTTATCTAAAGCTTTATTTAATTAAAGTAGCCAGAGTCTCTAAGAATTAAAAACTTGAAACTCAGTATTTCCCCTAGCCAGTACAATACATGAGAGAAGCACGCTTCCCACCTATTGCTAATAGCCCCTAGTTCAGTACCCCACGTTTGTGTGTCCTCAGATTGTTTCAATGCACCTCCTCCTTGTGGGTGTTTGTGGTTTGTGTAAAGCATATAATTGCTTTAAAAATGCAAACAAAATTTTGTTCTATTGTTTTGTCATTCCTACCCACAGAGTAAATATATTTTCACATTATCAGACAAATTAAGGAAATCAAGAATTAAAACAAGGAAACTGGCTCTTTCAGTTATTCTATTTATACTTCCCTGCCAAGAGCCTTGAAAAATGTCCTTCATTCTTCCCTTTTGCAATCTAGGAATAGTGTTTTGTGCCAGAGCTGAACACAGGGAGGATACATGCTCTTACCTCAATTAGTATTGACTCTATCATGGTCTGTAGTTATAAACAAAGCTAACAACACTTACAGCAACAAAAATAGACCTAATCAATAATGAGCCAGGAGGACCAGTGGTACATTTAGCTTCTGGGAATATAAATTCTTGGCAAGAAATCACGATTTCAGCTTCAGACTCTGTAACTGCAAGTCTTTGAAGTGTTGGAACCAAATTCAGTTTTTAATCTCAGAATATATTTTGATAATGTTCTCAATAGCTCCCACTAAATAATGATGATGATAATAATAAAGATAATAATAACTACTACTACTATCATCATTACTATTACTATTTCCTACTAGCACAGTCAAGAACAAGTAGTTGTGTAATTCGCAAAAGAAAATCATAGAATCGTCATAGAATAGTTAAGAGTTGGAAAGGACCTTAAAATCACTGAGTTCCAACCCCCCTGCCATGGGCAGGGACACCTCATTTTTACTCTATGCCATTCAAGACAAAATGAGAGAATACATGCCAGAAAGGTTTGTCAGTAAGGACGATACCTAAATTTTCTGGCCTTCCGGGAACATGATCAAATGAAACAGATACTGAAGGAACATACAGGCCTGAGCCTGTGCAGAGCTGTCTGTTTATGTAATTAGTAATAGCCATACTTGCCATTCATACTAAGCCACATACAAGGCTTTTGATTGAGGTAGAGGCTTGTCTGCTGGGCCAGAGTCACTATGCCCACGCTACCTTCTCCTATCATGCTATCATTCTGGGATGTTGCTTTGCTCTTTTCTTGTGTCAGGCACTACTTCTCCTTGTGGATGCACTGCATGTGTTAGCAGGGGAGCAGCATGTTTGCAGGTGTATGTGCACAGTCACAGACCCCTAAGACTGCTGTAACGTGGCTTTGCAGAAAATCAATGTAGCCAAGAAAATTTCCTTTCTGAATTATGGGAAACCATGACAAGACAACCATTCTGTATCTCATGGTCACTCCTACCTAGCCCATATTATATCATCTTAAACACAGGTCACCAGCACAGTCTGTATTTTCTAATGAATATAAAAACATAGATTTTAATGGGCACTCTCTCTCAGATAACCATTTTTCTTTTACATTTATTATTAGCAAGCTGCTGTTACCAGTACTGCACCAGTGACTGCACCAGAAGGTTAAAAAAGTCTGTGGTTCTGCTGGTCAGTCACCACACATGAACCTCCTAAAGCAAAGATATAAATCGTTATAGAAAACTGGTGCCAAACAGACAATACAGAGCTCTGAAAATAACCTCTTTGTCCTGAGATCATTGTATTCCTTCCTTGCTGTCAGCCATTTGTGTTTGAAAAGTATCAGGTTTAGCTTGAGCTGCTAAACCATGAAGATTCTTATAAAGAAGTCTTCATCTCAGAAGCACAGAGTAGGAGAAACCCGTTGTCTTCAACCTGGCTTTCATTTTTCTATCTGTGGCACTTGAGAATTCACATAAAATGTTGCAGCCATTAGAAATTATGTGTACATAGTGACCTTTAACTCTAAACGTGCACCACTTCGATAAATTAATTCAGCGA